GGCGTTCAGGATCATGATGGGAGGAGGCGTTCAGGCTCCAGGTGGGAGGCATTCAGGTTCTGGGCGTTCAGGCTTCAGGTAGTGGGAGGCGTTCAGGATCAAGGCCGGAGGCGTTCAGGCTCCAGGTAGTGGGAGGCGTTCAGGCTCAAGGCGGAGAATGCTGCTTAATGAGTAACGGCAGCCTGCACAGGGTGAAGTTCAGGGTAAAGTTCACTCCTGCGTTCATCCAGTTAATCTCCTGCTCCGACGTCCTGGGGCCGCTTTTCACTCCACAGTTTTTATGGGTCTGTAGCTGCTCAGGTCTCTGCCCCCCGGTTCACTAACACACAGAATCAGCAGCACTGTCTGGACCCACTCGGTCTGAATCTTGATCCAAAAGGGATCCATTCACTCTGAATCGGGATCCAATAGGGATTTATTTGCTCTGAATCAGGATCCTACCAGGGGTCCATTCTGTCTGAATTGGGATCCATTCGCTCTGAATCGGGATCCGTTCTGTCTGAATCGGGCAAGCTCTGAAAGCTGCAGTAGGAGACTAAAACTGTCTCTGCCGGTTTTATTTGCTGGTTAAACAAGGCCTCTTGAACGCCTTATGATGGAGAAATGCTCCTCGGATGAAGGCGCCGCCTCATTTTGGCCTTTTCTAACAAATCAGGTTTGTGTTGTCGTGTAATATGGGCTGGAAAAGAAGAAAAGTGCCAAAAGACGACTAATAAAGGGTGTAAATTAGGTTTTTTATTAAAAATCTAATTTAAAAAACTCATAAATGAGGATATTTGGTAACTGGAGGGAATGAATGTGTTGGATCATTTAAAAAAAGATTGAATTTAAATGTGAATTTGGCTTAAAAGGCCTAAAATATAACTTTTTTCAGCCTCTGGTCAGAGATTCAAACTGAATCACTAAAACGGAAACTCTGCCAGATGTTGTAAAATTATTTTGAATATTTCCTGATTTAATTTGTTTTGTTTTTTTTAAAGACCCAAATCAATGTGAGTTTCCAGGTTTGGAGCCAATGTCTCTGTTTTAAGCGTTTCAGAATTAATTCAATCTTCTTTGAAATCCCAAGTTTTGTTTTCTAATGACGACCAATGTGTGTAGTTTTATTTCCCGGCCTGTTAAACTTCCTGTTTTGGGCTGTATTTGGGGCATTGCGGCACCTTCCCACACAGCTGTGCCGACTCAGTCCATTCCTACTTTTACTTCTTTCTTTTTGAATCCAAACCAAACATTTAAATGGGTCTTTTAATTGTTCTTTTTTGGGGGAAATCGTCCCTCTGTCCTCAGAAAAGTCCCCCAGCAGCTGCGTAATTCAGCAGCTCAGATTTGAAATGAGAATCTGTCCCTGTTTGTGTTCCCAGCTGCTCCCAAACAGGAAAACCATTGCGTCCTGCTCAGTTTTTGTGCTAAAAAAGCTGCATCTGGACCGCCTTACAACATATTTTTGCCTTAAGACTCCAGTGGACTCAGCTTGTAGATCTCTGATCTGCTTTAAGGCCTTTTTAAAAGTCCGATTTTGTGACGTTTACAGACATAAATCAATGTTTAAGCCGCCTTAAGGTTTGGTCTGCTTTTGTATGTGTTGTGGAATGAATTGCTGATTTCAGACAGACCAGGATGGTGAAAATGTTTTTGTTTTTTGTTTGTTTTTTAAAACTCATTTCTATGTAATAAATAAATGATAACAAAAGACTTCTGGTGTAGTTTGATGTCTGTTTAGTGGACTCAGAATGAGATGCTGGATCTCCTGAATAATTTCATCCTAAAACTCCCCAAAAAGCTTATTTTCTGCTTGTTTTTCTCTGCTTTTCCTCTCAGAATCAGCTTAAACTTCATCTCTCTGCTCTGATAGCAGCTTCCATTCTTCCTCTGCTTGTTTTTCTCTCAATTTCTTCCTGGAGATCAATAAAGTATATTCAATTTAACAGTTTTTCTGGTTATTGAGCTCCACAGACTCTCCAACTCTGATCTAGAAGCGTTCATCAGGTGCTCTTTAAATCAGCTCTCAGAATCTGACTCCTTAATCAGAAATAATGATGCTCTTCAATGTTATTTTTTTCATGTTTTAGTACAACAGAACATTACAAAATGTTTTGGTAACAATACTAATTCAGTTTTAGGGTTAAACATCATTTGGGCTGCAGAGTTTAACATTATAGGAACACACAGAGTCCCTCTGCTGTATATTTTTACAAATATAGTTCAGGTGGAAATCAAGCTTGCAGGTTGTGTCAGTGGCTGTTTTACTGGATTAAATATTAAGGAGTAACACATTGTTGGTGCTGGTTAGAAAATTATGACCTGAGTGGACAGAGGCCTGTTTTCTACTCTAGACATTGATTAAATCAAAGCCTCCAACACAATGACTTTTTGTTGTGTGAGTGCAGCTCAGCTGTGTAAACGCTCGCTTTTATCTCCTTACAAAGAATTACGGAATTCTGCGGATTCCTGCGCCGATTCCCGCAGAGAAACGGACAGAAAGATGCCTCAGAGAGCAGGAAGTCGTCGCTGGTCCAGAAAAGCGGAGGCACGCGAGCACACGCGTGTCGCGGTTGGCTGTGGAGTCACACCCCCCCCCTCCACCCCTCCACCCCTCCACCACCCCCCCCACCCCCCGTCCCGTGCAGGGCTTTAATCCCCGCGCTCCGTCCGCTGCGCAGGACTTTGGCTCCTTCCTCTGCGGAGCGTCAAACTCAGCAGGTGAGTCCGATTTCTGCTAGAAAGGGGGGAAAAACAGCCTTTATTTGTTTCAAGACGATTTCTAATTTCTGCCAGGACCTTTAATCAAACATGAGAGAGTTCAGCTGCGCAGATGAAGCTTTGAAGTCACTTTTAAAGCGCAATTTTACCCAGCTGGTTTTATTGTGAAAGCCCGTTTTATTCCCGTGCTCCCCCCCTAAAGGAACTCCGCACCGGTCCGTGTTTTCTCAGCTGGGAGCAGAAGGTGGTCGTGTTTTTCTCCGCGTGAGCATCTTTAATCTGCACAAAGCGAAACGAATAACAGAGAAAAGAGACGCAGCTCCGCGTGAACATTAACCCGAGACGGTGGAAATGAGGGATAAGTTATTAAGTCTGAGGAGGAACTTTTCCTTTTTATGACGTTGGCTTTATTGTTTTATTTCATTTGCTGCTTTCATTTAACTCTCATTCAAAATATGAATTATTTTCTTATTCTGATTGGAATTAGATTCCAACCAAAACAAAGTTAAAACACAGTGTGTGTTGCTGCTCAGGGCCACAGCAACACAACGCACTGAGCAGCAACACAACACACTGAGCAGCAACACAACGGATTGAGCAGCAACACAACACACTGAGCAGCAACACAACGGACTGAGCAGCAACACAGCAACACAACACACTGAGCAGCAACACAACGGACTGAGCAGCAATACAATGCACTATTGCCGCTCAGTGTGTTGTGTTGCATTGTTGCTGCTCAGTGTGTTGTGTTGCATTGTTGCTGCTCAGTGTTTTGTTTTGCTGCTCAGTGT